TAATACGCGGACGAGAAGGCACGTCGCGTGTCATCGAGCCTGGCGTTGTGACATTTAAATCTGCGTCGGCCAAAAGTGTTGACCGTGCGATTTGCAAGTTTGCGCTGTTATCGATCGTTTCACGAGTGTGAAGTGTTTCACGGTGGCAAAAGCCGTTGTGGGGGTCAATTTGACGGAGAGAGCGCGAGCGACAACAAAAGCGGAGATGCGCGTGCGATCATCGGGCGTATGCATGCTTGAATTAATCAACGTGCGTGTCATCGAGCTTGAAGCTCATTTAAATTCTACTCGCCGTGAAATGTTGATGAGGAGGTGGGGGATTACGTGCGGACAAAGTTGTGCGCAGTATCGATCGGTGTTGAGTTTCAAAACGAGGTTCAACTGACGCGCGCGCGTCCCTATTGGTTCGCGGATGAAGTATATCGCGTGACGTTCTTCATAAAGCGTCCTCTCCGCGCGCATATTTATCATTCGCTGTCGTCAGCGAGTTATCACCGTCTCATTAAAATTTGTTTCGCGGCGATCAATTGTACCGCCGTCGTGGCGACGTTGACGAGAAATTACGAGGAAACCTGTGTGTCATCGATCCGAGTTTGATTTTGCAACGAGTTTTCGTTCCCGCCGCGACTGGAGCACAAAGGAAAAGAATCTCTTCAACGACTTTTTTAAGTCGCTCACGTGGCGACCGCATTCCACGACTCCTCGCGAAGCGACATCAAACAATGTCGCGATCTACATCGCGCATCGTTGCGAAAAGCGAAAAAAATTTGTAATTAAGATTTCCGGGCTTTGTGAAGCGCAGTAAGGACTTTGCGCGCTTCGTGCCGTGCAACGTATTAAGCGAGTGAAACCCCCGAGTCACGCCAAGTGACGCAAAATCGATAATTTCAGAGCACCATCGCCGGAAGTTTTCGAGGGGGGCGGCGATCTGAATTCATGGACGTGACGCTTGTTGTTCACGGCCGCTGATCCGTTCGCTCGGCCCGATCAGTCGCGTCAGCGAGAGTGTCGCGATCAGAGTTGCGCGCGTGAAGCCTCGACGCGCATCGCGTTCCCCGAAGATAAGGTCCCATTTCACGGGGGACCGGGCGTTCTTATTGACCGCCTTATTGTCCGCCTGTCATCGTTCGCGTGCTCACGCGTGCGTCACCTTCAGTCGCGAACGTCGCCGGAATGACAATTACTTCCTTCCACGCACGCAGTAGGAACAATTAATCGACGGAGGAGGAAGCAGTGCCGAAGCGATCGGACTGGTACACGTGTCGCCAGCGCACTCGTTTTTCAGAGCTCGCCCCCTCCGAGAAGAGGGGCATACGTTGCGCGGCCGCGCCAAGTTCCGTAAAGTTTGTACATAGATGACCCCGAAGAGAGGACCTTTTCCCAGCTGGATTTAGTCGGGTCTGGGTCAGTCACTCACGTGTAAGCGAGCCTCGGCGAGGCGTGTTGGCGCTTCCGGCGCGAAACGTGGATCCACACCCTTCGCCGACCTTGAAGAGGGGTCTCTCTCTTCTTTTTTCACGCTGCCCGTACCCGTGATACCGCGCGCTCCGTTCCCTCTTTTTTTTTGCCGACGGCGCCGGAAGTTAATCTCAACTTTCGCGAGCGGGACGCAAGTTTTAACGAAACGCGCCTCCGAAGTTCGCGCCGAGGGTTTCGGAGCCTCGCAAATTTGCGACCTTGAAGAATTTCTTCGCGCGCCGACACACCTGTCTTCACGGGCGAAGCGTTTCCTCGCGCGATGCCATGACGTGGATATCGGAGCAAGTTCGCCGGCTTTTGGAGAACGCCTCGCAGCTGGAATAGAGTTTCCGGTGGATCTTGATCTGACGTTTCCTTGACGCAACCTTGAAGAAAACTTTTTGCCCAGTTTTTTTTTACCCGTGCAACCTCGCGTGTGTGGCGCGAGTTTCGATTCGTTCCTTGCGCGCGCGCGCGTGCGGATTTTCAATGTTCCGCGGATAATGTGAGCTTTGTATTTAAGTGCGCTGAATGCTCCGCTTGTGCGGCAAGCAGACGCCTCTCGCAATTTCCTGAGATAAAGCCGATTCCACGCTGGTGCACTGTGCGGCGCGATAACAAGACTGAACGTAATCCACTTCGATAACAAAAAGAAAATATCTCTTAAAGATACAGCTCCGTTTCGTAAACGGAGTCGTGCGAATTCAATTCAGCCCATCGTTAAAATCTAATTACGAAAATCCAGGACTGATAATAAACTCAATTTAATCTTGAAGAATCGACGAATTATCTCGAAAAATCTCGCGGGTGTGTGCGTAATTTAACGCGATCGGACGAGAGTCGAGTTCCTTCGGGGATTCCTAAGCACCAGAAGTCGCATCTTGACGCAGCATCCCTGGCAACGTGCTGCCGGACGACCGCGTCTTACTCGCGCAGCGAACAACGTGAGTAACATGAGACAGAAGCAGCAACAGCAGCGGCAGCAACGTGGACGATAACTCATGTTCAGCAGGTTCGAGCTACTTCAGGGCGGTGTCAGCTATCTTCTGTTATCATCAGGTGCGCAACATCTAGTCGTTCGGTTCGCCCTCGCTCCGTGCCGCTCGATTTGCCCGATCTTGATAGGTCGATCGATCGCAGACGACGACGACGACGGCAAGTCGAATGGCTCACGGAGCTCGCCACCGCCGGAGATAACTCGACGATGAATTCACGGCGCATTGTTGCACCGGCGTGGCGCGCGCATTGCACGGGTCGACCCGACGTCGACATTGTTACGCGCCTGGAGAACGCCGCCGCCTGGCAAATTTCGAATCTCGATGATCATCAGCACGCCAGCTGACTACGAGCGGCCGGCCGTTCCCCGCGTTTCTGGACCGGTTGCCGCGGGAAAGGGGGGGCAGAGGGATCGGTCGGTGATTTTATAGATCGCGCCGCGCGTGGATAAATTTAAACGTGCGAAATTATTCATACGAGTCGTATTCGCGCTCGTCTTTGCGGCTAGTCGCGCGGAAAATCGCGGGAAACAACACACCGCTCGTATTTCTAGAACAATATTAAATCACGCACAGACACCTACCCCTTTCGTTTAAGCACTTAATATTTTATTTAGACACCGGGTGAGAATTACGGAGGCGTAAACTTTCACGTTGAGAGATTTAAGCGGAGTCAAAGCGACTCACGGCTCGATTATTGACACACGTGTGCTAACAAGATACGCAACGGCCTCGTGATACTTCGGCGCTAATTATTTTCCTGACATCGAGAGTGGCGGCTGTTGCGCGTTGCGTCACTGATTGATCGCATAGTCATCCCGAGTCGACCGCTGTGGATTTGCAACGCGACGAATATTGATAATTAGGCGGAAGGTCGCCGGATAATTTCGTACCTATTGTTGAAATGACGGCCATGACGGCCGATGAATAATACCTCGGTGTGCAATTATACAATCATTTATTGACATTATAACCGAGTGCCTTCTGATCGTGAATATAAATTATTTAATGTGCGCTCAACAGGAAGACAATATCTTTACAAAACACATTTCCCATCTATTAAAAAAAAAAAAAAAAAAAAAAAAAACGCGCAAAAGTGTATAAAGAGGAGAAAACGGCAATTGTCTGACGCATTTAGGGCCAGTTTCACAAGTGTCGGTTAACCTTTAATCTTAGATTAACTTACTCTTTGTCTTTTTCTAAGGAGGACGTTAGAAGGAGACGAAGAGTGAGTTAATCTAAGATTAAAAGTTAACCGACACTTGTGAAACTGGACCTTATTCGTTAAGGCTCGTTTAACATATTTTATGCGACATAAAAAAAAATTATTTAGTGTTTAATGCTAATACGAATCCAAGGGGGTGGGTGAAAGATCTCTCGGTCGTACATAAGGAAACCTTTTCCTCTTCTTGTCGGAATTATTTCCGGCTGCCGCAGCAATTTCTTGCGTGGCTTCGTAATAACGTCGAAGCACGCGCTTCCACATTAGACGAGCGTGGTGGTAAAATAAGGGTGATAAAATACTACGTCGCCCCCCGTAACGACGGGCGGTGTATGTGCGCGCTAGCCCGCCCCGGTGTGTTCAGCCCTCTATATTTCGAATTTAACGCCGCGTATACCCTCCGCTCTCTCTCTCCGCTTTCATGCCGCAGAGCGACTCGTCCGGGGGCTCCCCCGAGTCCCTTTCCCATGACATGCGTTGTGTGTGCATGCGTGCACGTTGCGTGTACGCCATTGTTTACGCAATGCCGGTCGGCGGTCGACCCGCGCGCGCTCTCTGCTCTTCCACCTCTTCCTTTCATCGTTACTTCCTCTGTCCCCCTCCCCCTCCTCCTTCTGTCGCGGCAGCAAGCAGGTCATCGAATTTCTAAAGGCGAATTTCTCGCGCACGACCAGACGGTCCCGGTTCGAAAGACCGTGTGTTGCGTAGAACGACAAACCGCTTCTTCGTACATCTACCTACCTACATTTTCGTCAAACCTACCTGGATCTCTTTTCGCCTTGTCCCGAAGTCGTTAACCGCACTTCCCCTGTTGAATTGCACGATACTTCGGGTCACGGTGATTCTGACAATAACCCTCACTACGTGCTCACATAAAAGTTATATAAACTCGTTATAGGAAGTTGTCTCTCTCCTAAGAGCGCAGACTTAACATCTAAAATTGAAGAAGAGATTTAATAGGTCTGTTTTTTATTGCTGCACTAGAACTTCCCTTCTCGCTTTCGCCAAATTGCAAACATATACCTATTTCACTTTAAGTACAGAGAGCGTACATTAGTCCAGCAATAAAAAAACAGACCTAATCATACAAGACTGTACTTGAGTCTCTTTTTATTCTCCATTACAAATGGAGGAAGACAAACGTTCACTTCAAACTGACTTGATACGAGTTTACCAGTTAGACAGATTGTTTATTCAAACACATTAATTATTCGCTCACCGGACATTCGGTTTAACGTAATGCATGCGGCCGGTAATTAGACAGACTACAATAAGCCTCTACAATAATTTTGCTAATTTTGCCGTTCTTATTTTTTCTGTTGCAGAACGCCAGCACAACGCCAGCAGACTGTCTGCGTAAGTACATTGACCTAACGACTTTCATGTTAAACATTTTCTTACCTTTTCGCACGAAGCTCCCATAAGTAACTTTATCTGTTCTCATTTCTTAGTCGAGACCTCACACACACACATTCAAAGGTACTTTTTACTTTAAGACAACGTGTATTTCGTATGCGTTGACGACGGGAGCAGCGCGCACGATTAATTATGTATTCGAGTCGGGTAATCGATATAACTTTTTTCCCTCTCGCTCTTCGCGTCAGGCAATTCGCGTTTTCTTAACAGTGCAGTGTTTAAATAGGTAATATCGTAGTTAACGTCGGCCGCGAGGCAAACCGCGCGCGGATTTGATGGAATAATAAAATAAAAGAGCGATTGCAGGATGCGCGCGTCGGTAAACATATACTGGTTACATTGTAAACTGTAAAGTTTACTGCAGATTCTCGCAGGGGTTTTTAATTAAACCGTGCAGCGCGCCGTAATTTTTCGGGACGTTGACTATTTTGCCAAATATTTTGTTTTCCGCCGCGCGCATGCAAACACATCGTCACGCGGTCTCTCCGCTGTTTACTCTTAAACAAGCAGTTTTAATCCGCGCGGAAAAAAAAGTGTCGCGGAATCCCGCGGGGATGAATAAAATTACGAAAGGCGGGGAAGCGCGGGCGACGGGGATTGTTCGACGGTGACGTAAGTGTCTTGTATCGGGCGTTACGTGCGCGTATGAAGGAAGAGACAAAAAGAGAACGGAGACTCCGCGAAGGATTTGGAAAGGAAATACACGCGACAACGAGGAAGAGGAGTTTGGGCAGCACGTGGACGCCGCTAATAAAGATGTTTCGAAGTTTCTCACGTGTCATGGGTTTCTTGCCTTCGCGGCGAAACGGTTAGAACTTTCTTTCCCCTCTCGTAGAAACCCTTCGTACATTTTTATGACGGACTTACCAGGGTCTTCTTACCCCATCGTCGCCTTTCTTTCCGACCGTTCCCTGAAATTCCCTCGTGAACTTGGGAACCTCCCGCGGAGAAAAATTCCTCGTATACGATGATGCGATATATATCGCGCTTGTATCTATCTCGATTCGGCAAATCTGCCGATAAATAAACGGTAAATAGATCGTCATATATTATTAATTTAATCGCACTCGATAAAAATAAACAGCTCTTGCTGGGCTTGTCTATAGTCTTTTTAGTTACAGTTAATTAGTCGCGATTTAGAACTGCTTTATTTTTTTATTGAAATTGCGTATACAACAAAAGATAGTAACACTTTTGTTATCACAATTATAACAAAGAGTTCGACAACAAAAAAATCGCTTCCAAAGGCAAGGTAGTTTATCGCTCTTCATCGGTACACTCTGCCTTCGCGCGATAATGCCGGCTATCTAGATCTCACGGCGAGATAAACTAAAACGTACGGATGTATAACCGGCGAAAGTATCGCGCGGGGTTGCGACGCACGTAGCGACTCGTAAATTGAATTCGCGGATGTCGGTGGATTTTCGGGAGACGGGAATTGGCGGCCGATCCGGGTGTTGTGTGCACGACACCCGGAATCGGGGCGTTTACGCCGCCGTTGCACTCGCTCGCGGGCGAGAGAAAGGGATTAACGAGCCGACGAAAAGGGTAGAGGAGGCAGGACACGTATCTCCCACTCTCACGTCCGCTCTTTTCCAGGGCTTCAACCCCCTTCTAACGATCCCTCCTCCTAATAACCGCCATCGCGCAACGCTTTTGTCCGATGGAGAAGTAGGTCGCGGCATCCGCGACTGGACCGCCTTTTTCCTTCGTGTTTCACGAAGCTCCTCTCGAACCGCAGAGTTTCGGCCGATCTTTTATTTGTACGCGCCGTATGTTGTCCCGGAAGGGGTGCATAATCGGTGCCCTAAGCGAAAATTATTTAATCGCCCGCCGGCTGTCACCCGTCGGCTCACACAGGGAGAGTTAAAAGCGCTAATTGATCCGTTAATACCCGATGTTTTCTCTGACAACAAAAGAATGAATTGTCCCGAGAATTAATCTCCAAATGAATTAATCAACGTGTTCCTTCAAAGGATATACACGGTTCCTTTTGCGCTTGCGCTAGCTCGCACTCCTTTTTCTAGGGGTCGATCTCGATATTCCTCCGCGGGGATATCTTTCTTTTTCTCCGGGCGCGTGATTGACGCGGGCAATTAAATTTCAGTTCCCGGCTCATAAAAGTCAGAATAGACCGCAAATACACCAAGTACCGTGAAAAAACACCGGAGATTATTCCATTTGCTTAGTTTGCAATATAACCAGAAACTCGAGTGCGTTATCAGACGAGAGCGGCCTGTGGCCTTGCGCGATCCGATAACGCGCTTAAGTCACATCACTCTTAAACGAGCTGATAACGAGTTTCGGTTATTTGCGAACGCTCGATAATAACGTGTACATAATATTTCCGTCACGAGTCTTATAGGTATTTTTGTAATTCTCCATTTTTAATTTTCAATTAATAGCCCCGGCGTTGTGTCGGATTGACTTATTCGTGACTTTCTCAGTTTATAACTGGAGTATTGAATCTCCCGAGTCTCTCTCTCTCTCTCTCTCTCTTTTGAACTCGAAAGCTGAAATTCTCAATATCCAACTCCTGTTGCATGCGGATCACGATTGCAAAACGGTTAATTAATAATTACTCTTCCCGCGCACGTTTACGTTCCGTCCGCCGATCACGCGCGAAATTTACGAGCGCGTCCGATCGCTCGATTATTTCGTGCCTCGTCGAGCGTCTTCTGGCGCACGGCGTGCACATTGTATATCGCGAATCGCGATAACGGGTTATCGGGATACCTATCTGCGGTATGTGCGCGAGTTGCAGACGTAAGCAGCATCGTCGACATAGGAAACCGGCTGCGCGCGCCGGAGATCTCTTGCTACAAGCTTTTCGCGCCCATATTTCGCCATTACCAGCAACGGCGGTGCTTGTATTCGGGAATTCAGTTGGTTTACCCGCAGTTTCCTCGATATGAGATTCGCGACAGCGAAGTCCAAATTGCACGAATCGTGGGTGTCCATCGCGATGCGCGTTAGGATTGGAAACGGAAACGTACGCGAATAAAAATAATTAAATTGTATTGTAAAGTAATTATTAAATTACTGAATTATTTACTTATATAATTTATATATATATAAATTACGTACGTTTCCGTTTCCAATCTTAACGCGCATATATATATATATATATATATATATATATATATATAAATATGATTGATAATTATAACTGTATCATGCATAATACTTTCAGAATTGAAAGATTGAGAGAGCTATAAAAGTTAGGCGAGCCGAGACACGTTAAGAACGACAAGTTATTAAGTGTGAATTGAGAGTTACGAGGCTGGGGGTTAAAATTTGCGCGTCGCACAATTTGAAAAATTTTATTCGTTGAGGACAGAATGAAGTGAATATTCATGTACTTTATTGGCGGAATAAAACGAGAGAGAGAGAGAGAGAGAGAGTGAAGAACAAAAACTCCGTTATCAGGGCACTTGAGGATAATTTATAAAGCTCTTTATAAACTTCTTTATCGAGTAACAATTTATGTTCAATAACCGAAAATCCTAGTCGCGATTCGATTAAGATTTAATTCAAGATTTAATTAGGCGTAATTAGGTTCAGTTAAGTGGGTATTGTAATTAGAAATAGAATAATTATTCTGTTTAGTAAGCGCGTCGATATATATACGTTCTATCAATTAAATTCTCCGCGATTTAATTATTTCGATTTGGTTTGAGCGTCAATTTATTGATTGGTTCTATAAATGTCTTTTTCGGTTGTATTTCCTGAGCTTCTCTGGCAGTCTACGATGTACTTACATCGATAGCACTTACAATACGGCGCCACTGAGAGGGTGGGTGTCGAATGGCACCGCAGGCATCGCCGATCATCTTTCGCAACTCGATCGCGACGTGCGAACGACGGAGACGTGTGTAATCAGAAGGGGCATACGCGCGCGCGCGTGGTCCGACCTTATCTCGCGAGAGTAATGAGAACAAGAGTTTGCTTCGCGCCTCAAATCGAAGATGCCGCACGGATAAACGCGGAGGCAAGAGAGAAGACCGGATTATACGAGTGAAATAAAAAGACGCGCGCCGTGCCTGGCGTCGCGACTTTTTCCAACTGCGATTGCGACGACGATGAAAAATTCGCTCTAGATTAAAATCGCCAGGTCGGAGGAGTTCAATGCCATGCCGCTCGAGAAATGCGTCGCAGGTATAATTCTCGGTATATACGAGGACGCGTTTAAGGATTATTCGACGCGCGCGAGTAAATTGCCTCTCTCTATGTACCTATAAGTACTCGTTTTTGTTCTATCTCGTTCGCGACAGTATTAGCCCCGAGAGAGGATATCAGAGAAATATTCCTGCTCGTGGATTGTGGAATTTGAGAAATTTTAGTATAGTCGCGCTAATAAAAAATCTAGACGCTTTATAATTCGAGCGACGATGCTGTGGAATTTTGCTTTATTACTTCTTTGCTATACGTGCTTTATTCGTCTATTTGAATTTTGTGTATAATGCATTCCCATAATGCTCCCAAGTTTGTTTAACGCCGTATTAATTATAACGAAAATATTCGCGCGATAGGATACGCGTAGGAGGAGGACTTCGCTGAATATGTGTTTCGCCGTCTGGGGACAGTCACGGGAATGTTTCGGGCGTGGGAGAGCGTCCTAAATTCGTCACTTTATGAATCCGTGATGGGCGTATCTCGTGTCCCGCAGATTTTCACCTCGCGCGCCGACGCTGGCGGCGGCGATACGCGATAATCTGCTCCGCGGATCCATCTGTAGATTAAGGAGCCCACTCTAAAGCCGGGGCAATCTCATTACCGCGGCCACGAAAAGTGACGGCTCGAAATGGGCGAAACGGCGCGTCGGGAATTTCTTGGCGTGGTGGAAACGTAAAAGTGGAGAACCGTCGGCGTCGGCTCTCTGGCTCACCTCGCGCCGGTTATGTGCTCCGGCGTTTCCACCGGCGTTAACTAAGCCGCGG